GGGGGGGCTGGATATATCTACTGGGTGGATGGATATATCTACTGGGTGGATGGATATATCTACTGGGTGGATGGATATATCTACTGGGTGGATGGATATATCTACTGGGGGGGGGCTGGATATATCTACTGGGTGGATGGATATATCTACTGGGTGGATGGATATATCTACTGGGTGGATGGATATATCTACTGGGGGGGGGGCTGGATATATCTACTGGGTGGATGGATATATCTACTGGGGGGGCTGTATATATCTACTGGGGGGGGGGGCTGGATATATCTACTGGGGGGGCTGTATATATCTACTGGGGGGGGGGGCTGGATATATCTACTGGGAGGGGGGGGCTGGATATTTCTACGGGGGGGGCTGGATATATCTACTGGGTGGATGGATATATCTACTGGGGGGGGGGGCTGGATATATCTACTGGGGGGGGGCCTGGATATATCTACTGGGGGGGGATGGATATATCTACTGGGGGGGGGATGGATATATCTACTGGGGGGGGTTGTATCTATCTACTGGGTGGGGTTGTATCTATCTACTAGGGGGGGGGGCTGGATATATCTACTGGGGGGAGGCTGGATATATCTACTGGACTAGAGTATCTGTAGCCCCATCAAGCACGTGACATCTTGCAGATCTGAATGGAAATGTTTCCTTTGTTTGCTGATCGCATCAATGAGTTGAGCAAATTGAATCCCACAGTTTTACATTTTTTCTATTCGTCAACGTGGGCACAGCTTTTTGATACAACACCGGCAGCCCACATCAAGCTGAGCTCAAATCTGCATAATTCTACAGCTGTCAGTTCATTGTGTGCTTAGCTGATCAATTAACGGTACACAATTAGTTGTACACAATTAGTTGTACACAATTAGTTGTACACTATTTCTGGTACACAATTTCCAGCACATCATTTCTAACGATATTTCCCTAAACGGTGAGTGGATTAGGACAAGTGAGGACAAGTGAGGAGTGGATTAGGACAAGTGAGGAGTGGATTAGGACAAGTGAGGAGTGGATTAGGACAAGTGAGGAGTGGATAAGGACAAGTGAGGAGTGGATTAGGACAAGGGCGGAGTGGATTAGGACAAGTGAGGAGTGGATTAGGACAAGGGAGGACAAGTGAGGAGTGGATTAGGACAAGGGAGGACAAGTGAGGAGTGGATTAGGACAAGGGAGGACAAGTGAGGAGTGGATTAGGACAAGTGAGAAGTGGATTAGGACAAGTGAGAAGTGGATTAGGACAAGTGAGGACAAGTGAGGAGTGGATTAGGACAAGTGAGGAGTGGATTAGGAAGAGTGAGGAGTGGATTAGGACAAGTGAGGACAAGTGAGGAGTGGATTAGGACAAGTGAGGAGTGGATTAGGACAAGTGAGGAGTGGATAAGGACAAGTGAGGAGTGGATTAGGACAAGTGAGGAGTGGACTAGGACAAGTGAGGAGTGGATTAGGACAAGGGCGGAGTGGATTAGGACAAGTGAGGAGTGGATTAGGACAAGGGAGGACAAGTGAGGAGTGGATTAGGACAAGGGAGGACAAGTGAGGAGTGGATTAGGACAAGGGAGGACAAGTGAGGAGTGGATTAGGACAAGTGAGAAGTGGATTAGGACAAGTGAGAAGTGGATTAGGACAAGTGAGGACAAGTGAGGAGTGGATTAGGACAAGTGAGGAGTGGATTAGGAAGAGTGAGGAGTGGATTAGGACAAGTGAGGACAAGTGAGGACAAGTGAGGACAAGTGAGGAGTGGATTAGGACAAGGGAGGACAAGTGAGGAGTGGATTAGGACAAGGGAGGACAAGTGAGGAGTGGATTAGGACAAGTGAGCAGTGGATTAGGACAAGTGAGGACAAGTGAGGACAAGTGAGGAGTGGATTAGGACAAGTGAGGAGTGGATTAGGACAAGTGAGGAGTGGATTAGGACAAGTAAGGACAAGTGAGGAGTGGATTAGGAAAAGTGAGGACAAGTGAGGAGTGGATTAGGACAAGTAAGGACAAGTGAGGAGTGGATTAGGAAAAGTGAGGACAAGTGAGGAGTGGATTAGGACAAGTGAGGAGTGGATTAGGACAAGTAAGGACAAGTGAGGAGTGGATTAGGACAAGGGAGGACAAGTGAGGAGTGGATTAGGACAAGTGAGCAGTGGATTAGGACAAGTGAGGACAAGTGAGGACAAGTGAGGAGTGGATTAGGACAAGTGAGGAGTGGATTAGGACAAGTGAGGAGTGGATTAGGACAAGTAAGGACAAGTGAGGAGTGGATTAGGAAAAGTGAGGACAAGTGAGGAGTGGATTAGGAAAAGTGAGGACAAGTGAGGAGTGGATTAGGACAAGTGAGGACAAGTGAGGAGTGGATAAGGACAAGTGAGGAGTGGATTAGGACAAGTGAGGAGTGGATTAGGAAAAGTGAGGACAAGTGAGGAGTGGACTAGGACAAGTGAGGACAAGGGAGGACAAGTGAGGAGTGGATTAAGACAAGTGAGGAGTGGATTAGGACAAATGAGGAGTGGATTAGGACAAGTGAGGACAAGTGAGGAGTGGATTAGGAAAAGTGAGGACAAGTGAGGAGTGGATTAGGAAAAGTGAGGACAAGTGAGGAGTGGATTAGGACAAGTGAGGACAAGTGAGGAGTGGATTAGGACAAGTGAGGACAAGTGAGGAGTGGATTAGGAAAAGTGAGGACAAGTGAGGAGTGGATTAGGAAAAGTGAGGACAAGTGAGGAGTGGATTAGGACAAGTGAGGACAAGTGAGGAGTGGATTAGGAAAAGTGAGGACAAGTGAGGAGTGGACTAGGACAAGTGAGGACAAGGGAGGACAAGTGAGGAGTGGATTAGGTAAAGTGAGGACAAGTGAGGAGTGGATTAGGAAAAGTGAGGACAAGTGAGGAGTGGACTAGGACAAGTGAGGACAAGGGAGGACAAGTGAGGAGTGGATTAGGTAAAGTGAGGACAAGTGAGGAGTGGACTAGGACAAGTGAGGACAAGGGAGGACAAGTGAGGAGTGGATTAAGACAAGTGAGGAGTGGATTAGGACAAATGAGGAGTGGATTAGGAAAAGTTTGTCATTGATCGAACCGGTCTAAGCTAGCGTAGTTTGTTCACCCAGCATTCGCCACAAGAACTCACGGTCTGCCGGTCTGCCGGTCTGCCGGTCTGCCGGTCTGCCGGCACGTTCAAGTGTTTTGCTCACGGATTTCCGCTTGAAGTGAGCCGCGCCATCCCCAGGGGTTCACATCAAAGTCGGCAAGCTTTCTGTACAGGTAAACTAAAAGGTGTGAGAAGTCCAAATCAACGGGTGGAGGGGGGGTGGGGGGGGGGGGGGGGTGGAGGAGTGGGGGGGGTGGAGGGGGAGGGGGAGACGAGCGGAGCAAAACTGCCATCAGCTAGTGTAGAGTGGGACCATCAGCTAGTGTAGAGTGGGGCCATCAGCTAGTGTGGAGTGGGGCCATCAGCTAGTGTAGAGTGGGGCCATCTGCTAGTGTAGAGTGGGGCCATCAGCTAGTGTGGAGTGGGGCCATCAGCTAGTGTAGAGTGGGGCCATCAGCTAGTGTAGAGTGGGGCCATCAGCTAGTGTAGAGTGGGGCCATCAGCTAGTGTAGAGTGGGGCCATCAACTGCTTTGGCCATCAGCTAGTGTAGAGTGGGGCCATCAGCTAGTGTAGAATTGGGCCATCAACTAATTTGGCCATCAGCTAGTGTAGAGTGGGGCCACCAGCTAGTGTAGAGTGGGGCCATCTGCTAGTGTAGAGTGGGGCCATCAGCTAGTGTGGAGTGGGGCCATCAGCTAGTGTGGAGTGGGGCCATCAGCTAGTGTAGAGTGGGGCCATCAGCTAGTGTAGAATTGGGCCATCAACTAATTTGGCCATCAGCTAGTGTAGAGTGGGGCCATCAACTGCTTTGGCCATCAGCTAGTGTAGAGTGGGGCCATCAGCTAGTGTAGAGTGGGGCCATCAGCTAGTGTAGACTTAGGCCATCAACTAATTTGGCCATCAGCTAGTGTAGAGTGGGGCCACCAGCTAGTGTGGAGTGGGGCCATCAGCTAGTGTAGAGTGGGGCCATCAGCTAGTGTAGAGTGGGGCCATCAGCTAGTGTAGAGTGGGGCCATGAGCTAGTGTAGAGTGGGGCCACCAGCTAGTGTGGAGTGGGGCCATCAGCTAGTGTAGAGTGGGGCCATCAGCTAGTGTAGACTTAGGCCATCAACTAATTTGGCCATCAGCTAGTGTAGAGTGGGGCCACCAGCTAGTGTGGAGTGGGGCCATCAGCTAGTGTAGAGTGGGGCCATCAGCTAGTGTAGAGTGGGGCCATCAGCTAGTGTAGAGTGGGGCCATGAGCTAGTGTAGAGTGGGGCCACCAGCTAGTGTGGAGTGGGGCCATCAGCTAGTGTAGAGTGGGGCCATCAGCTAGTGTAGAGTGGGGCCATCAGCTAGTGTGAAGTGGGGCCATGAGCTAGTGTGGAGTGGGGCCATGAGCTAGTGTAGAGTGGGGCCATCAGCTAGTGTAGACTTAGGCCATCAACTAATTTGGCCATCAGCTAGTGTAGAATGGGGCCATCAGCTAGTGTAGAGTGGGGCCATCAACTGCTTTGGCCATCAGCTAGTGTAGAGTGGGGCCATCAGCTAGTGTAGAGTGGGGCCAACAGTGGCAACAATAGATGAACGTGTAGTTGAGTCTCGGGTGCTGCTGGATACTGAGGGGACCAGGGATCGCACCAATGTAGACCATCCCCCCCCCCTCCCCCTTAAACTGTCAGAAAATTGACTGAAGGTTGTGACAAGCTGATGAACAGTAAACCTTGACAGCCGCTTCACGCGCGGTTGGCAACTGACACGCCCACTCGGAACAATCCATCGAAGCTCGCGAGCTGTCAGCTGTTCTGATTGGCTCTGACAGTTCTCGCGTCATCCGCTAGACGGCCCTCGCGCTGTCTAACCGCCCTCTCAGCTAGCGGCTTGTGTTTACTTCTGCTGGCCCGATCAGAGCAGCAGGCAGTGACTTGTGCTCTAGATCTGGTCAAGTTGTGAGATTTTCAGTCAAGTTGTGAGATTTTCAGTCATGTTGTGAGATTTTCAGTCAAGTTGTGAGATATTCTGTCAATTTGTGATATATTCTGTCAATTTGTGAGATATTCTGTCAATTTGTGAGATATTCTGTCAATTTGTGATATATTCTGTCAAGTTGTGAGATTGTGTTTTGATATAAAACTTTATCCAGACCTTGAAGACAGTGCGTGTTGACAAAGGATAGAATTGGACAAAAGTAGGTCAATTTTTTAAATAAAAGCATGACATGTAAATTCGACTAATTAATAATTAGATGGAGATTCAAGCCACACATTTCCCTTTAGTAATTAATTAAATATTCTAATTATAAATTCATTCGTTAAATCTGAGTCGAGATCAGCTTTCGTAGATTTTCCTGACTTGATCAGTAGGCGTAGATTGACACCACTGAGTGCAGGGCCTTACAGTTTTAGGCTCAAATTTTCTAGTCTAAAACTGACCACCCCCCCCCCCCTACCCTATAATCAATCCAACACCAACAAAATGTGGTGTCTTTAATCCAACAACCTTCCAACAACCTTCCAACAACCTTCCAACAACCTTCCAACAATTCAATATCGATTCCACAGTCATCAAACCAACCATGAAACCGTCCAACCAACCAACAAATTAACAATTAACCATCTAACCAATTAACCATCCAAACAACCAATTAACCATCCAATGAACCATCCAACCAATTAACCAACCAATTAACCAACCGAAAAACCAATTAACCATCCAACCAACCAACAATCCAACCGTCCATCCAACCAACCTTTCAGCCAACCAAACATCCATCCATCCATCCAACCAACCTACCACCCAACCAACCAAGCAACCAACCTACCAACCAACCTACAAAACCAACCAACCAACCTACCAACCAACCTCTCAGCCAACCAACCTCCCACCCAACCAACCTACAAACCAACCTACCTACAAACCTACCTACCAACCTACCAATCTACCTACCAACCTACCAACAAACCTACCAACCTACCTACCATCAAACCTACCAACCAACCTACAAAACCAACCAACCTACAAAACCAACCAACCTACAAAACCAACCTACCAACCAACCTTTCAGCCAACCAAACATCCATCCAATCAAACATCCATCCAACCAACCGACCAACCTACCAAGCAACCAACCTACCAACCAACCTAAAAACCTACCAACCAACCAACCAACCAACCTACCAACCTACAAAACCAACCTCCCAACCTACAAAACCAACCAAACAACCAACCAACCAACCTATCTACCAACCAACCTACCTACAAAACCAACCAACCAACCTACCAACCTACAAAACCAACCTACCAACCTACAAAACCAACCTACCAACCAACATAACCTACATAACCTACCAACCTACCAACATACCAACCTACCAACCAACCTACCAACCTACATAACCTACATAACCTACCAACCTACAAAACCTACCTACCAACCTACAAAACCTACCTACCAACCTACCAACCTACATAACCTACATAACCTACATAACCTACCAACCTACCAACCTACCTACCTACCAACCTACCAACCTACCTACCAACCTACATAACCTACATAACCTACCAACCTACCAACCTACCTACCAACCTACATAACCTACATAACCTACCAACCTACCAACCAACCTACCAACCTACCTACCAACCTACCAACCTACATAACCTACATAACCTACCAACCTACCAACCTACCTACCTACCAACCTACATAACCTACATAACCTACCAACCTACCAACCAACCAACCTACCAACCTACCAACCTACAAAACCAACCTACCAACCTACATAACCTACATAACCAACCAACCTACCAACCTACCAACCAACCTACCAACCTACCTACCAACCTACCAACCTACATAACCTACATAACCTACCAACCTACCTTCCAACCTACATAACCTACATAACCTACCTACCTACCTACCAACCTACCAACCTACCAACCTACCTACCAACCTACATAACCTACATAACCTACCAACCTTCCTACCAACCTACCAACCTACATAACCTACATAACCTACCAACCTACCAACCTACATAACCTACATAACCTACCAACCTACCTACCAACCTACCAACCTACATAACCAACCAACCTACCTACCAACCTACCTACCAACCTACCTACCAACCTACCTACCAACCTACCTACCAACCTACCTACCAACCTACCAACCTACCTACCAACCTACCTACCAACCTACCTACCAACCTACCTACCAACCTACAAAACCAACCAACCAACCTACCAACCAACCTCTCAGCCAACCAACCTCTCAGCCAACCAACCTCCCACCCAACCAACCTACAAACCAACCTACCTACAAACCTACCAACAAACCTACCTACCAACCTACCAATCTACCTACCAACAAACCTACCAACCTACCTACCATCAAACCTACCAACCAACCTTCAAAACCAACCAACCTACAAAACCAACCAACCTACAAAACCAACCTACCAACCAACCTTTCAGCCAACCTAACATCCATCCAATCAAACATTCATCCAACCAACCGACCAACCTACCAACCAACCAACCTACCAACCAACCTAAAAACCAACCAACCAACCAACCTACCAACCTACAAAAACCAACCTCCCAACCTACAAAACCAACCAACCAACCAACCTACCTACCTACCAACCAACCTACAAAACCAACCAACCAACCTACCAACCTACAAAACCAACCTACCAACCTACAAAACCAACCTACCAACCTACATAACCTACATAACCTACCAACCTACCAACCTACCAACCAACCTACCAACCTACCAACCAACCTACCAACCTACATAACCTACATAACCTACCAACCTACAAAACCTACCTACCAACCTACAAAACCTACCTACCAACCCACCAACCTACATAACCTACATAACCTACCAACCTACCTACCAACCTACCAACCTACCTACATAACCTACATAACCTACCAACCTACCAACCAACCTACCTACCAACCTACATAACCTACCAACCTACCAACCAACCTACCAACCTACCTACCAACCTACCAACCTACATAACCTACATAACCTACCAACCTACCAACCAACCTACCTACCAACCTACATAACCTACCAACCTACCAACCAACCTACCAACCTACATAACCTACCAACCTACATAACCTACCAACCTACATAACCTACCAACCTACCTACCAACCTACCTACCAACCTACCTACCAACCTACCTACCAACCTACCTACCAACCTACCTACCAACCTACCTACCAACCTACCATTCTAGTCACGACGGTGTAGTCCTGCAGGAAACATAAACCAACCAAGTGGTGAGGGGGGGATGTGAGGGGGGGATGTGAGGGGGGGGATGTGAGGGGGGGATGTGAGAGGGGGGATGTGAGGGGGGGGATGTGAGGGGGGATGTGAGGGGGGGATGTGAGGAATGGAAGTTACACGTTTTCATGCATGTGCGCTGGTGCGTGAAATTTTTTTGAGTTCATGTTCAGGCATGCGCAAAACGACAGAATAAGGGGGACAACTTTCAGAACAGAATAAGGGGGACAACTTTCAGAACAGAATAAGGGGGACAACTTTCAGAACAAAATAAGAGGGACAACTTTCAGAACAGAATAAAATGTGACAACTTTCAGGACAGAATAAGGGGGACAACTTTCAGAAAAGAATAAGGGGGACAACTTTCAGAAAAGAATAAGGGGGACAACTTTCAGGACAAAATAAGAGGGACAACTTTCAGAACAGAATAAGGGGGACAACTTTCAGAAAAGAATAAGGGGGACAACTTTCAGAACTTACAAATAGAATGGTTGGAGGAGTGGGGGATATCCTAGTGCTAACCTTAACCCATCATACCATCCTAGTACTAACCCATCATACCATCCAGTCTGACGTGACCAGCCCAGCAGTCTGACGTCACCACCCCACCAGTCTGTTTTTAACGAACCTGCTTGAAGTAGTCAGTTACACGGGCTAGGTCGTGACACGGGCTCATCCATCATCCATCATCCATGGCTTGTCGGCCCTGTCAATACATTTGGCTGCTGGCTCCATTCGACGTTTGATCTCCACCCCCCTCCCTCCGCCCCTACACCCACTTCCCCAGCAACAACACCGTTCGAATCGTAAAATTCACCTGTCCAGTCTAGTTTGTGGCTATTCACCAAACTGTTTGTTCCTATGACTGTTGGTTCCCGAATACATGTTCCTATGACTGTTGGTTCCCCAATACATGTTCCTTTGTCAGACAGCCGACAGTAGACTTGAACAGCGCATGTAAAGGATGGTGAACTTCCTTCTGTCATAAGTCATGATCGATGTCATAAGTCATGATCGATGTCATAAGTCATGATCGATTTCATAAGTCATGATCGATGTCATAAGTCATGATCGATGTCATAAGTCATGATCGATGTCATAAGTCATGATCGATGTCATAAGTTATGATCTATGTCAGCAGCACGTTTTCGTGTGTGTGTTTTGTGTGTCTGTAAGATACGTGTTTGTGTTTGTTGTGTATGTGTATGTGCCGTGTTTTGTGTGTCTGTTCTATCATCACCAATATGTCAATGTGTCACCCTTACCAACATTGCACAGTTAAACAAATCTAAACAAATCTATCTACTATTCTGCAGGCCAAGAGAGACAACTTGTTTTATTTCTTCCTTCACTTCTCAAGCTCTGGATTCAGCTCCCCTTAGTTGTGACACGCTTTTGATGGTTCCACTGGCCGGCATTCATGTCTGAGAGTGTGTGGCGGCAACAATGTGGTCGGGACTTTAGGACAGTAACCCACACCTGCCCACAGTAACCCACACCTGCCCACAGTAACCCACACCTGCCCACAGTAACCCACACCTGCCCACAGTAACCCACACCTGCCCACAGTAACCCACACCTGCCCACAGTAACCCACACCTGCCCACAGTAACCCACACCTGCCCACAGTAACCCACACCTGCCCACAGTAACCCACACCTGCGCTGGTCAAGTACCAAGCTCAGAAGCTTCTACGTCACGCTCACACCATTAAGACAGATCGTTAAGACATGCTGTTACATTCGAGAGGAAAAATTGATGGTTCTCTCAGCAGAACGTGAAGACAGACATTTGCTCTTGTAAAGACAGACATTTGCTCTTGTAAAGACAGACATTTGCTCTTGTAAAGACAGACATTTGCTCTTGCCTTCTGAATGTTCTTGACCTAAATTGAGGCATGACGACAAGTCTCCTTGACCTAAATTGAGGCTTGACGACAAGTCTCCTTGACCTAAATGTAGGCATGACGACAAGTTTCCTTGACCTAAATCGCTGTGAATGATGATGTCGTCAGCCATACCACCCCGACCCCTACTCGGTCTTCCCAGGGGATCAACCCTCAGTGGATTTATGACGTCACCTTACCACTTGACCTCCAGAGAAAATGGTTCGACCACGGTCGATCACGGCATGTACTCTCTGAACGTCACCACGGAGCGGTCGTCTCCCCGCCCCTCCCTGGGCCGTGCCGGGATCAGCCAGGATGTCCCACGTGACGTCATCAAACCCACCAGATCAGGTCGCCTATCTGCCCCCAGCCCATACACCCCGGGGGAGGGCGCCATCAACCAGAATTCAGGCGCCCCGTCACTGTATCAGAGAGTTCACTCGCCCATAGGGTACGCCAGCGGCCCCTCCCTTCAAACTGTGGGTAGTGTTGATATTCCCGCAACTTCTGATGCGTGTTTTAATTGGGCAGACAACCAACACATTTCCGAGAGCGGCAAGAACGAGCATCAAGGTCAGCCATCTTGTTTGACACCAACTGCTGGATACCAAACTTGTATGTATTTCTTCCCTTAGTTCAACCTCATAGGGTGTGTGGTTCTGGTGAGGGCTTGTGGTTCTGGTTAGGGTTTGTGGTTCTGTTTAGGGTTAGGGTTTGTGGTGATGGTGAGGGTTAGGGTTTGTGGTTCTGGTGAGGGTTAGGGTTTGTGGTTCTGGTTACGGTTAGGGTTTGTGGTTCTGGTGAGGGTTTGTGGTTCTGGTGAGGGTTTGTGGTTCTGGTTAGGGTTAGGGTTTGTGGTTCTGGTTAGGGTTAGGGTTTGTGGTTCTGGTTAGGGTTTGTGGTTCTGGTGAGGGTTTGTGGTTCTGGTGAGGGTTTGTGGTTCTGGTGAGGGTTAGGGTTTGTGGTTCTGGTTAGGGTTTGTGGTTCTGGTGAGGGTTAGGGTTTGTGGTTCTGGTTAGGGTTTGTGGTTCTGGTTAGGGTGTGTGGTTCTGGTTAGGGTTTGTGGTTCTGGTGAGGGTTTGTGGTTCTGGTGAGGGTTTGTGGTTCTGGTTAGGGTTTGTGTTGAGGGTTTGTGTTAGGTTTTTTTTATGTTTATGTTTTTGCTTATGTGGTTAATTTTTAATAGGTAGAAGTGCAGGGAGGGGGATTGGTTGTTTTTTTGTGTGTTTATTTTAGATGTATAAATGCGAGATGGTGAAATGCTTTACGTCTATGTTCGCTTGTGGTTGGTTAGGGTCTTACATTTTCTTGGTCATTTTTGCTTGGACATTTAATACATTTCCAAAACCCGGACAGCGCCGGTGATATGATGCTAAATAAACACACCATTCCCGATGTTTTAGAGATAAACAAAAGCCAGTGCAGAGCCTGACCGGGACGGCCAGGATTTCAATTAAGACAATGCGTCTTTTCTCCAATATCAGCAATCCCACACGTTCCCTATTGAAAGTACTGATGTAGTGCTGATGAAGTACTGATGTAGTGCTGATGTAGTACTGATGTAGTGCTGATGTAGTACTAATGTAGTGCTGATGTAGTGCTGATGTAGTGCTGATGTAGTGCTGATGTAGTGCTGATGTAGTACTGATGTAGTGCTGATGTAGTACTGATGTAGTACTGATGTAGTACTGATGTAGTACTGATGTAGTGCTGATGTAGTACTAATGTAGTGCTGATGTAGTACTGATGTAGTGCTGATGTACTACTGATTGTGTCAATGGGACGGTGTGTTCTGAAGATATCTCTGGCGCAGAGTGACATTTTGCCTAGTTGGCCGAGTGACATTTTGCCTAGTTGGCCGAGTGACATTTTGCCTAGTTGGCCGAGTGACATTTTGCCTAGTTGGCCGAGTGACATTTTGCCTAGTTGGCCGATTGATATTTTGCCTAGTTGGCCGAATGACATTTTGCCTAGTTGGCCGATTGATATTTTGCCTAGTTGGCCGATTGACATTTTGCCTAGTTGGCCGAGTGACATTTTGCCTAGTTGGCCGAGTGACATTTTGCCTAGTTGGCCGATTGACATTTTGCCTAGTTGGCCGAGTGACATTTTGCCTAGTTGGCCGAGTGACATTTTGCCTAGTTGGCCGATTGATATTTTTCCGATTTCCTTTTCGCCACACTGATGGACTTGAGTACCGGGAAGGTTTAAGCTTAAACTAACCCTAACCCTAACCCTTAAACTAACCCTAACCCTAAACCTAACCCTAACCTCTGCCTTAGCTCCATAAAAATTGTTTTTAATTTTTACAAGCTTTTATTTAACTCACTTCCTCTGCCGTCAGTCGTCAGTCTGTCGTCAGTCTAGATAGAAACGCAGGAGTGAAAATTCAGACAGTTGTACTTGACCGATACGATTCACATTTGGCACGTGGGTCAAGACATGAAGACAATGCAATCTGAAACTAAATTTGATTTAATTGGGTGCCTAATTAATTTTTTATGAATTAATTAAAATTTGGACCGAATCAGTAGGCATGTCAATCCAACCACACCACACGCGTCATCACTTTCAATAGCTGCGCCATCAGGTTTAATAGCTGCGCCTTCACGTTCAGTAGGCGCGCAATGGTTTTTAGTCATGTAACACTATTGTAAATAAAACATGTAAAGTACTGAAAAAAAATTCATAAAAAACGTTTTAATAACAAGCTTTTATGTAATGATGCAATAAAAAGTAGAAAATAAATTATACACTACTATTTAAATTACTATAAAGAAAAGCGTGGGTCACTTTAGTACCTATTGGATACCTTTACTAATATTTGAGAAGAGACCCACGCTTTTCTTTATGGTAATTTAAATAGTAGTGTATAATTTATCTTCTACTTTTTAGTGCATCATTACATAAAAGCTTGTTATTAAAACGTTTTTTATGAATTTTTTCAAATATTTTTACTTTCTCGTATTATAACGGGCGCTACTCTATCTCTGATAAAGCTAACGCACGTACCGGATTCTTTTGAATGGTTACAAATGACAACAAAACTAAAAAAGTATCAGACACAAAAACTCAACGTGGACAGCCTACTTCTTGGCTTACTTATCACAAGTATATGTACAGCCTACTTCTTGGCTTACTTATCACAAGTATATGTACAGCCTACTTCTTGGCTTACTTATCACAAGTATATGTACAGCCTACTTCTTGACTTACTTATCACAAGTATATGTTCAGCCTACTTCTTGGCTTACTTATCACAAGTATATGTACAGCCTACTTCTTGACTTACTTATCACAAGTATATGTTCAGCCTACTTCTTGACTTACTTATCACAAGTATATGTACAGCCTACTTCTTGACTTACTTATCACAAGTATATGTTCAGCCTACTTCTTGGCTTACTTATCACAAGTATATGTACAGCCTACTTCTTGACTTACTTATCACAAGTATATGTTCAGCCTACTTCTTGGCTTACTTATCACAAGTATATGTACAGCCTACTTTTTGGCTTACTTATCACAAGTATATGTACAGCCTACTTCTTGGCTTACTTATCACAAGTATATGTAGGCCTACAGCCTACTTCTTGACTTACTTATCACAAGTATATGTACAGCCTACTTCTTGACTTACTTATCACAAGTATATGTTCAGCCTACTTTTTGGCTTACTTATCACAAGTATATGTACAGCCTACTTCTTGGCTTACTTATCACAAGTATATGTAGGCCTACAGCCTACTTCTTGACTTACTTATCACAAGTATATGTTCAGCCTACTTTTTGGCTTACTTATCACAAATATATGTACAGCCTACTTCTTGACTTACTTATCACAAGTATATGTACAGCCTACTTCTTGACTTACTTATCACAAGTATATGTTCAGCCTACTTTTTGGCTTACTTATCACAAGTATATGTACAGCCTACTTTTTGGCTTACTTATCACAAGTATATGTACAGCCTACTTATTGACTAACTTATCGGCACCTAACTCAGCGCCAGGCATGTGCGAGGCACTTTTTGCCACATTGTCCACTTAAGCGCATGTACATCTGTGGTTTGTGTTATCCCTGCTGTGTATAGAACGTCAACCACATACAGATTGATCTTAACTCACAAGTCTAGTTTTTGCTTGAGTTGTCTGGCTAAATTCTATCTTAACTCACAAGTCTAGTCTTTGCTTGAGTTGTCTGGCTAAATTCGATCTTAACTCACAAGTCTAGTTTTTGCTTGAGTTGTCTGGCTGAATTCTATCTTAACTCACAAGTCTAGTCTTTGCTTGAGTTGTCTGGCTAAATTCTATCTTAACTCACAAGTCTAGTTTTTGCTTGAGTTGTCTGGCTGAATTCTATCTTAACTCACAAGTCTAGTCTTTGCTTGAGTTGTCTGGCTAAATTCTATCTTAACTCACAAGTGTAGTTTTTGCTTGAGTTGTCTGGCTAAATTCTATCTTAACTCACAAGTCTAGTTTTTGCTTGAGTTGTCTGGCTGAATTCTATCTTAACTCACAAGTCTAGTCTTTGCTTGAGTTGTCGTCTGGCTAAATTCTATCTTAACTCACAAGTCTAGTCTTTGCTTGAGTTGTCGTCTGGCTAAATTCTATCTTAACTCACAAGTCTAGTCTTTGCTTGAGTTGTCTGGCTAAATTCAGCCATACTGTTTTATACGGGAGGCCTATTATCTTTGGGTTATTGTTTACCTAAAGTGTGCCCCGTAGAATACGATTATCTTTGTTATGTTAATATTAGCAGGAAAGGAAACTGCAGGTCCCTTGCAGGTCCCTATAAGGGGGGGGGAGGGAGGAAGCTGAATAAATGTACAGAAAAATAAACATTCTCACACATGCTCACGAACAATAGTATGGGTCAAGACTATCAGCACGAACATATGTACTTAACGACATACTTTAATATCTCGGGTAAATTTAGTTAAAACAATATAAAAACACTGTGGGTAAGAATATAACTGCCTCCAAGTTGTTTATTTTACACAGTCAGAATCATAGCTTTTGAAACTGGTCAAACTGTTGTGAGAACTGATACAGATTTACACTGGTAATACTTCTTTGTTACTTGTAGCCTACTTTCATTGATTTAAGATGGTTTACTTATACATAATACAAAACGTCTAATTACTACTTAATTTTAAAATAAACCGGGAGTGATCTCCCCTAAACTTTCTCGAATATTCTTTTATAAAACAACAGAGGATGGGAACTCGGGTTACAGACATAAATTTTAATCCATTTTAAATACTTAAACTTTTTAAAATAGAATAAAATCTCGTAGAAAAAAAGAATTGCACACCCGTGAACGCCAAATAAAACGTGCATAATAGTGCGGAATATTATTAGTACTTTATAAATTTACATTGTTTTTTTTTTGTTTTTTTTTTTGAAAAATCGGAAATAGCGTAAATTAGTACTTTCAATCAACAGAAATTACTCAAAATTTGACAGAAGGTAGAGAATTAGATCTTTTACTTACATGTGAAATTTCATTTATCTATCTGAAATAGTACTCAAGTTACAGGCTTTTTAAAAATTCAAACTAGAAAAAGTACCACTTGCGGTTATTGGAAATCGCTCAAAAGTTGATCAGGATCTACGATTTTGATAAAATACTTATATATGACATTTCATCAACCTAACTGTAACGGTACTCAAGCTATTGTGTTTACACACAGACACACACACACACACACACACACAGACATACGGACAGAATTGCTAAGTCCAGTTTTTACGACTCGATAACGCATAAAACGCCAAAATGTTTATATATTTGTATTTATAATTTTTGCCTGATTAAAATAAGTCCTCTATACTCCGGATGTGATGAAGAACTGAGGAGTAAAACGGTGAAAACTGTCAAAATTTCATGTTATTTTCGTGCACGATTACAATACTTTCTCTGTACTTCGTATATACGAGAAAGTAAAAAACAACATAAAAATGCCAATGTGTAATTTAATCATGATTCTAGTCCCCATATAATTGTTTTAATACTGTAATCTGTTCTATTTTGTTCTGTATAATTTATTTAGAATTTTTTACGATTCTATATCAACTTTCCTTATTCTGTGTGATTTTAGCATTTATAATAAAATTATAATTAATTCTGATTGTAGACAGCATTTTTTTTTTATAAAAACGAATAGTAATAATGAATTATAATGTATTATATTGAATAATGAAGAAATTATTGATCTGGTTGATTTTGACAGTTACAATTAAACGTGTTGGCCTTTACATATCTATATTAGAAATCAAAATGCTTTTAAAGTTTATAATTAGGTCAGAAAACAACACTCAAACTTTTACAATTCTCAACATACACCCAAACTTTTACAACTCTCAACAACTAAATCAAAGTATTTCTTTGAACAGTATTGTAAAAAATTTTCTGTGACTTTTTCCGATAAAAAATTTTCTGTGACTTTCCCGTGACTTGTTTTCCTAGCAAAAAGTGTGACTTTTTCTGTGACTTTATTTCCTATGACTTTTTTTCCCGCTGACCTAATTACCACCGGTTTGTATGCGTACAGAAATCGTGATAGGGAAAGAGGCAAAAGAATACGTTTAAGGACCTAATGAATGAATTAAGGACCTAACGAGGGTATCGAGGACCTCACTAGGGTATTGAGGATGTCCTGAGTTGGTCTATCCAATGTCCTAAAATCATCACTGCTACAGGGCCGTATCACATTTCACGTAGGTTAAGACTCAATAACAATACATACTAATCTAAAATGTGATTTAATTCGTTGTTTAATTAACTAAAAATAAAAGCGTGGATCGCTGTATTATGCATTAAATACCTTTAATAGAATTTAAGAAGCTTTCCCACGCTTTTATTTTTACTTTCTCGTATACGAAGTATAGAGGAAGTATTGTAATCATGCACAAATTTTAAATCGATATTTTAATAAATTTCGACGTTTTACATCTCCCTGAGTCCGTGTATGTGTTTATATGTGTGTGTATGTCTGTGAACACGATAACTTGAGTACCGCTACAGCTAGAGTACTGTTTCAGATAGATAAAAGAAATTTCACATAAAAGTAAAAGATCTAATTCTCTGCCTTCTTTCAAATTTTGAGTAATTTCCGTTGACCGGAAGTAGTAACCCTATTTCCGATTTCTCAAAAAAAAAAAACGCACATGAATTTACAAAGTACTAATATTCCGAACTATTATACACATAATGCACGATTTGCACCACCCCCCCCCCCTCAAGATTTCGATTTGCACCCCCCTCAACCTTTCAATTTATTTTTCCAACCCATTTTGGCGCCCCCTAAGGTCGGCACCCGGGGACATATGTCCCCGCCCCACCCCCCCCCCCTCGCTACGCTACTGATATTGTATGAAATTTCATCAACGTAGCTGTAACGGTATTCGAGTAATAACACACGTACACACACAGACAAACGGACTAAATTGCAAAACTATGTGAAAATCTAGATTTCGATTATTTGCACGATTACATTACTTATGTATACTCCGTAAACGAGAAAGTAAAAAAAAAATTAAATTACTATAAAGAAAAGCGTGGGTCTCTTCTCAAATATTAGTAAAGTTATCCAATAGGTACTAAAGTACTAAAGTGACCCACGATTTTCTTTATAGTAATTTAAATAGTAGTGTATAATTTATTTTCTACTTTTTAGTGCATCATTACATAAAAGCTTGTTATTAAAACGTTTTTTATGAGTTTTTTTTCAGTACTTTACATGTTTTATTTACAATAGTGTTACATGACTAAAAACCATTGCGCGTCTATTGAACGTGATGGCGCAGCTATTAAACCTGATGGCGCAGCTATTGAAAGTGTGGTTGGATAGACATTCCTACTAATTCGGTCCAAATTTTAATTTATGCATAAAAAATTAATTAGGCATCCAATTAAGTCAAATTTAGTTTCAGATTGCATTGTCTTCATGTCTTGACCCACGTGCCAACTGTGAATCGTATCGGTCAAGTAGAACTGTCCGAATTTTCACTCCTACGTTTCGATCTAGACTGACGACAGACTGTCGACTGACGACAGAAAGAGGAAGTGAGTTTAATAAAAGCTTGTAAAAAGTAAACAAAGACTTCGTCATTTTGGTCTATGTAGATGGGAGGTAACTTTTTAAAGCAATTATTTTTCAATCGACGTTTTACTATTTTAAAGAAAAGCAAATGATTAAGTTTAGCATTCGTTTAAGTAAGAATTTGATTACATAAAATAAGTAGATCTATGTATCCTAATAAAATTGGAGAAATAAACTTGTAGAAATTAATGTAGTATATCAAGGAAGCCTTTGTAGTTCTAATGCCCTTTCGAGTGCTGTTTGCGAATATTCTATCATCTCTGCTAAATAAAATTACTGTTTAAACATAAGCACTCCACAAAACAGCCAATTACAAAATAATTAATTTTTCAAATTCTCAAATGTTTTTTGAAAACCTATGCGAAGCTAGGCAGTATGCCTAGTTAGGTAAAATACTAGTCTGTATATTAGTTGATATATTTAGTTTAACAATTTATTTTGATGTTCTCTGTTTTTAGGTTTTATTTCCGAAGAGACAGTAAACACTTCCGGTCATCACGGCAGCAGTTCAGCCGGCAGCAGTTCAGCCGGCAGCCGGAGACTGCGTACAGCGTACACCAACACCCAGCTCCTGGAGCTGGAGAAGGAGTTCCACTTCAACAAATATTTGTGTCGCCCCCGGAGGATCGAGATCGCCGCCTCCCTTGACCTGACAGAACGGCAGGTCAAGGTGTGGTTCCAGAACCGCCGCATGAAGTACAAGCGTCAGTCACACGGCACCCGTGGCAAGGGCGGCGCCATAGACAGCGACAGAGAGGAGGAAGCAGACGACAGCTTCAGCGACGTGGCAGGGGTCAAGGACGTTTGCAAGGACGATGACGACACTGCTGAGAGTGTCGTGACTTGCCCACCAGAAGGTCAAAATGTCAAGACAGACTTGTGTCGGTTAGACTCTGACGATGAAAAAAGAATCGTCTCTGTTGTTGATAACTTTTTAGAAATGAAAACTCCAAAATCTTATCCTACCCTCACCGGAAGTAGAAAACGCAAACTGGCAAGAAGCGTGGGTGACTTGAGCCTGGAGCCGGGCCTAGAGCCGGGCCTAGAGCCGGGCTCACCTCAGATATACAGCAGTGCCTCGTCTCACGACTCCGGTCTGTGCTCTCCCGGGAGTCTACACAGTACCTCCAGCCCTACACCCTCTACACAGGCGCCCTCTACACAGGCGCCCTCTACACAGGCGCCCTCTACACAGGCGCCCTCTACACAGGCGCCCTCTACACAGGCGCCCTCTACACAGGCGCCCTCTACACAGGCGCCCTCACGGAACATTGACAGCATCAAGACAACTCCACTGTACATCAAGACCGAGCAAATGTCGGCCCCACATAAGAAAAGAAAAGCTCCAGTAGGTCAGGTGACCACTGCCCACCCACTAGGTCAGGTGACCACTGCCCACCCAGTAGGTCAGGTGACCATTGCCCACCCAGAGAGTAACAGATTGGTCCATCAGAGCTTCCAGTCCCCACGATCATTGCAGTGTCAGCAGACTGATCCAGAACAATTGTGCGATTTACAAACTTTAGATCAGTTCTACTCACACAACACTGACCTTAACCTTCAAACCCGGAAAGATTTCGATGCGGTCACGGCGACCTCTAGACCACAACAGAGTCGCTTCCTGTCCTCACCCCACCCCACGTGTTACGACGCGCCCTCTTCCTATGGGCGTATGTCTCCAAACTGGGCCGATTTCTCTTCGTATGAGTACACGAACAACCCGCACAACCCGCACAACCCGGCAGCTTACAGCAGCAACCAGTCGGGGCATGCACTCTACACTCACCTTTACGACAGCTATGGTTGTCATAGCGACAGCAGCTATGGTTGTCATGGTGATAATGCGAATACATTCAATTCAGGTTTCAATTCGTTTCAACATGTGAACAGTGTGGAGGGGTACAGCAGCCTGTATGGCCAACGATCTGACAGGTCCCCCACGATCCCCATGCACGTGCACGGGTTTGTCGCGACACCCCTCACTCCCAGCCACTCCAGCGGTGCTCACCTACCCCGTCACGTGACCGACAGTTTCTCTCACGCGCGCCAGCCGTTAACAATGTCGGACAGCGCCCACGGTTACCATGACAACAACAACACGCGAGGGATGAAAAATGAGAGTTTAAACGAGCCGTATGAATACCCCGTTGACTTGAATACAAGACAGACTCTTGCTTTCCCACAGTCGAACACCAGCGACTGTATGGAGGCGAACATTGGCTCGCCCGGCGCCCCCCGAGAGCTCTACACAAACCAGGACCAACGCGCCAACAACGGCCGGATGTTGGCGCACCTGAAGGGTGCCGACACGTACCGCGACACTTCAGTCGTGAACGGCAAGTCAAATGGGACTGCCAAGTCTGACGTGACTGCCAAGTCAACTCACCTGTCAGAAAAACAAAGTTTGACTGACATGGACTTGTACCCAAGGGGAGGATGCTCGAGCGACGGACTTAATGCTTCCAGTTTCTGCTCTAGCTACGGCTGGCAGGCTTCTAAGCCTTTCAATTCAGATTTATTCGAGACAGGATATGACGTCAAAGACGGTTATTACTCACAACTAGGGACAGGATGTGACGTCAGAGGCGACTACTACAAACAGTTTGGTAATGATCAGAGAGCTGAGTCGGCCACAACCTCAGCCTACAACACACACCAGCCTCCACACAACGACCAGACACAGGCCTGTGTAGCTTACTACGGCTCCTACCCCAATACCCACCCTGGCCCCCCCAATACCCACCCCGGCCCCCCCAATACAAACCCCGCCTCCCGGACTTTGTATCAGGAAACTTTCTCGCAGTATCAACAGACGGCCGAGAGGTCGGACTTTCAGCACGTGGTCAGTCTTTAGTCACGTGGTCAGTCTTTAGTCACGTGGTCAGTCTTTAGTCACGTGGTCAGACATTTTTGCCAATTTAAAAGTTGACATAAAATATGTGAGACATCTGGGATGTAATCTAGTGTAAGAGTCTGATGTATGTAAGAGTCTGATGTATGTCAGAGTCTGATGTATGTAAGAGTCTGATGTATTTGATTGTCATGTTCTGTAGAGATGTTGTTTATATGATGTAGAGATGTTGTGTACGTGATGTAGAGATGTTGTGTATGTGATGTAGAGATGTTGTGTACGTGATGTAGAGATGTTGTGTACGTGATGTAGAGATGTTGTGTACGTGATGTAGAGATGTTGTGTACGTGATGTAGAGATGTTGTGTACGTGATGTAGAGATGTTGTGTACGTGATGTAGAGATGTTGTGTACATGATGTAGAGATGTTGTGAATATGATGTAGAGATGTTGTGTACATGATTTAGAGATGTTGTGTACATGATGTAGAGATGTTGTGTACGTGATGTAGAGATGTTGTGAATGTGATGTAGAGATGTTGTGTACGTGATGTAGAGATGTTGTGTACGTGATGTAGAGATGTTGTGTACGTGATGTAGAGATGTTGTGTACGTGATGTAGAGATGTTGTGTACGTGATGTAGAGATGTTGTGTACGTGATGTAGAGATGTTGTGTACATGATGTAGAGATGTTGTGAATATGATGTAGAGATGTTGTGTACATGATGTAGAGATGTTGTGTACATGATGTAGAGATGTTGAGTACGTGATGTAGAGATGTTGTGAATATGATGTAGAGATGTTGTGTACGTGATGTAGAGATGTTGTGTACGTGATGTAGAGATGTTGTGTACGTGATGTAGAGATGTTGTGTACGTGATGTAGAGATGTTGTGTACGTGATGTAGAGATGTTGTGTACGTGATGTAGAGATGTTGTGTATATGATGTTTGGATGATGCGGTCATTAATTAATTTTATTCGGTTAAAAAATATTAAAAAACTAATTGCCTCACATCGCATCCGTTTTCATTATTTCCTCAATGTTTTCATCCTTCTGTCCTCAATGTTTTCATCTATTCTATCATCAATGTTTTCATCTATTCTTTCCTCAATGTTTTCATCTATTCTATCATCAATGTTTTTATCCTTCTGTACTCAATGTTTTCATCTATTCTATCATCAACGTTTTCATCCTTCTGTCCTCAATGTTTTCATCTATTCTATCATCAATTTTATTGCCCAAGTTTAAATAATCCGATGCCGTGGGTTCTAGAAACAGCTTCCGAAAAAAACTCCGGCAGGTCACGTGTTAGCCTGTCGCCAGTTTTAAAATAAAATCAACCAAAAAAAAAGTGATGGCCGACAAAATTTTGTTTTTTGATGTTTTCAGCAAGCCGGGCTCCAGTAAATATCAAACCTCCGTTTGTTTACAAAAATGCCTGGCTCGTCATGTAGAAAAAAAAATGAAATTAGAATTTTTTTTTCTGTAGTTGATTACTTGATCTGTGGGCTAGGGGTCGTTTGGGGGTAGGGGTGGTTTGGGGGTAGGGGTGGTTTGGGGGTAGGGGTTGGATGTGATATAAGCTGAACGGCCAGCGAGACCAATCCAGGCTTGATTGACAGTCAACCAATCAAATGTCCATTTGCTGCCAGCAAGGCTCAGGGTTCAGGTGTAATTGTGGCTCCCTGGCTATTGACACCAGCAGACGCCGCGAAGGGGTCAAGTTTGATCCTCCCTGGGGTCAAGTTTGATCCTCCCACACTCAATGCCAGCTCTCCCCCCCCCCCCCCCCGGATGTCAGTCATGTCCTCGACCGGTCAACGTGGAGTGAGGAGGAAAGGCAGATAATGGGAGCAGGAACAGGAGAATATATAGGATGGGAGCAGGAACATTGGAATATATAGGATGGGAGCAGGAACTTTGGAATATATAGGATGGGAGCAGGAACAGGAGAATATATAGGATGGGAGCAGGAACTTTGGAATATATAGGATGGGAGCAGGAACAGGAGAATATATAGGATGGGAGCAGGAACAGGAGAATATATAGGATGGGAGCAGGAACAGGAGAATATATAGGATGGGAGCAGGAACAGGAGAATATATAGGAAGGGAGCAGGAACAGGAGAATATATAGGATGGGAGCAGGAACAGGAGAATATATAGGATGGGAGCAGGAACAGGAGAATATATAGGATGGGAGCAGGTAGAGGAGAATATATAGGATGGGAGCAGGTAGAGGAGAATATATAGGATGGGAGCAGGAACAGGAGAATATATAGGATGGGAGCAGGAACATTGGAATATATAGGATGGGAGCAGGAACTTTGGAATATATAGGATGGGAGCAGGAACAGGAGAATATATAGGATGGGAGCAGGAACAGGAGAATATATAGGATGGGAGCAGGAACAGGAGAATATATAGGATGGGAGCAGGAACAGGAGAATATATAGGATGGGAGCAGGAACAGGAGAATATATAGGATGGGAGCAGGAACAGGAGAATATATAGGATGGGAGCAGGAACAGGAGAATATATAGGATGGGAGCAGGAACATTGGAATATATAGGATGGGAGCAGGAACTTTGGAATATATAGGATGGGAGCAGGAACAGGAGAATATATAGGATGGGAGCAGGAACAGGAGAATATATAGGATGGGAGCAGGAACAGGAGAATATATAGGATGGGAGCAGGAACAGGAGAATATATAGGATGGGAGCAGGAACAGGAGAATATATAGGATGGGAGCAGGAACAGGAGAATATATAGGATGGGAGCAGGTACAGGAGAATATATAGGATGGGAGCAGGTAGAGGAGAATATATAGGATGGGAGCAGGAACAGGAGAATATATAGGATGGGAGCAGGTAGAGGAGAATATATAGGATGGGAGCAGGTAGAGGAGAATATATAGGATGGGAGCAGGAACAGGAGAATATATAGGATGGGAGCAGGTAGAGGAGAATATATAGGATGGGAGCAGGAACAGGAGAATATATAGGATGGGAGCAGGTAGAGGAGAATATATAGGATGGGAGCAGGAACAGGAGAATATATAGGATGGGAGCAGGAACAGGAGAATATATAGGATGGGAGCAGGAACAGGAGAATATATAGGAAGGGAGCAGGAACAAGAGAATATATATAATGGGAGCAGGAACAGGAGAATATATTTAATGGGAGCAGGAACAGGAGAATATATAGGAAGGGAGCAGGAACAAGAGAATATATATAATGGGAGCAGGAACAGGAGAATATATAGGATGGGAGCAGGTACAGGAGAATATATAGGATGGGAGCAGGTACAGAAGAATATATAGGAAGGGAGCAGGAACAAGAGAATATATATAATGGGAGCAGGAACAGGAGAATATATAGAATGGGGCAAGGTACAGAAGAATATATAGGAAGGGAGCAGGAACAAGAGAATATATATAATGGGAGCAGGAACAGGAGAATATATAGGATGGGAGCAGGAACAGGAGAATATATATAATTGGGAGCAGGTACAAGAGAATATATAGGATGGGAGCAGGAACAGGAGAATATATATAATGGGAGCAGGTACAGGAGAATATATAGGATGGGAGCAGGAACAAGAGAATATATATAATGGGAGCAGGTACAGGAGAATATATAGGATGGGAGCAGGAACAAGAGAATATATATAATGGGAGCAGGAACAGGAGAATATATAGGATGGGAGCAGGAACAGGAGAATGTATAGGATGGGAGCAGGTACAGGAGAATATATAGGATGGGAGCAGGAACAGGAGAATATATAGGATGGGAGCAGGTACAGAAGAATATATAGGAAGGGAGCAGGAACAAGAGAATATATATAATGGGAGCAGGAACAGGAGAATATATAGAATGGGAGCAGGTACAGAAGAATATATAGGAAGGGAGCAGGAACAAGAGAATATATAGGATGGGAGCAGGAACAGGAGAATATATATAATGGGAGCAGGAACAGGAGAATATATAGGATGGGAGCAGGAACAGGAGAATATATATAATTGGGAGCAGGTACAAGAGAATATATAGGATGGGAGCAGGAACAGGAGAATATATATAATGGGAGCAGGTACAGGAGAATATATAGGATGGGAGCAGGAACAAGAGAATATATATAATGGGAGCAGGTACAGGAGAATATATAGGATGGGAGCAGGAACAAGAGAATATATATAATGGGAGCAGGAACAGGAGAATATATAGGATGGGAGCAGGAACAAGAGAATATATATAATGGGAGCAGGAACAGGAGAATATATAGGATGGGAGCAGGAACAGGAGAATATATATAATGGGAGCAGGAACAGGAGAATATATTTAATGGGAGCAGGAACAAGAGAATATATATAATGGGAGCAGGAACAGGAGAATGTATATAATGGGAGCAGGAACAGGAGAATGTATAGGATGGGAGCAGGTACAGGAGAATATATAGGATGGGAGCAGGTACAGGAGAATATATAGAAAGGGAGCAGGAACAAGAGAATATATATAATGGGAACAGGAGAATATATTTAATGGGAGCAGGAACAGGAGAATATATAGGATGGGAGCAGGAACAGGAGAATGTATATAATGGGAGCAGGAACAGGAGAATGTATAGGATGGGAGCAGGAAGATTGGAATAAATAGGATAGGAGCAGGTACATGAGAATATAGGATGGGAGCAGGTACAGGAGAATATATAGGGTGGGAGCAGGAACATAAGATATATAGAATGGGAGCAGGAACAGGAGAATATATAGGATGGGAGCAGGAACAGGAGAATATATAGGATGGGAGCAGGTACAGGAGAATATATAGGATGGGAGCAGGTACAGGAGAATATATAGGAAGGGAGCAGGAACAAGAGAATATATATAATGGGAGCAGGAACAGGAGAATATATTTAATGGGAGCAGGAACAGGAGAATATATAGGATGGGAGCAGGAACTTTGGAATATATAGGATGGGAGCAGGTACAGGAGAATATATAGGA